GATTCATCAATATATGTCTAAAAACATTTAAATTGTTACAAAAAGATATGCAGTGATAAGGAAAAACTATGGTGTACATGAGTTAAGATTGTGCTCCTATTATTAAAGAGTACAACTTTAGAATGATATTAAATGATGTTAAGAGAAACATGGCATTCCACTCCCTGGATGTCCTTTCTCCCCAGCCATTCAGACTCATCATCCTTCAGGACCTACTCACAAAATCATCTTGAATCCCCACTGCCAATATTGATCCTGCCTCCTGTATACATTCAGAATACTTTATATGTTTGGTAACCTGTAACTGTTTCCCTACTCATCTCTTTTCCTTCAAGACTGCAAGCTCTTTGAGGACAGGATCCATGACTAATGCATTTTTTGTATCTTTCAATATCACACTTAATAGACACTCAGTAAATCTTTGATGAATGAACTGGAACACAATTCTCCCATTATGTTGAGTCTATGCTGGATCCAGAGTCTCAGAGATAAGCAAAATAACTGGAACAGATTCAGAAGAGAACAGTGAACCAAAATGACTCAAGAAGTGGGACAAACAGAATCTCTATGTGAAAACAATAAGAAAAAAATGTTAAAAGGAATTCAGCCTAGTAAAGCGACCATTGGGAAATGACGTCATAGGCATCTTCAAATATATTAAAGAGATAATGTTAAAAGAAAGAAGTTCTTTTATTGGAGTGAAACAAGATATGGGTCAGATTTTAACAGGGCAATATGAGTAGGGAGTGGCGCCTACCCAAGAGCTATCAGAGTACAGCTATCAGGGTGGTGTGATGAATGGCAGAAGTAAATGCCGTGCCTGCTTCTGTCCTTGAGTATGTGTAAGTATACAGTGGCAATGTGTGTGTGAGCATACAGTAACAATACAGTCTGAGGCACACTGGTTTTGCAAAATTACTTGTGAAACAACTGCAAGCTTTTAAGTTTTAAATTTTTTTTTCTAAGATGCTAAAACATGTTTTAAAAGAGAAGGAGGATTTAGTCCAGGGAAGAATGGTAGAGACTGAAGCCTGGGATTTGGATAGAAAATGGAACCAATGCACAGAGAAAGAGAGACAGCCTTTGATGTCTTGACAATCAAGGACCGTGGCTTAAGGACCAGACTCTTAAATCACGTGGCATTTACTACCCAAGATAAAAAAATACTTTTCTGGATCAGTGTGTGTACTTCAAAATGGCTAGGTTCCAAAACTGGTCTTAACTTTCCAAGGGCAACATTTGGAAGGCTTCCTGTAAGAACAGCAGAGCCAGATTCTAGAAGGGGAGCTTAATGATTTTCTCCCCCCACCCCAAATCATTAAACACTGTTCCTTTCCCAGAGCTCAAGTTCATGCTGAGGGCAAAGGGAATTAAATGGAGAGGCTAAACCTGCAACCAAGATTAGAGTGTTGCCAGGGCCTAATTTTAGGTCCTTGCTGCCCCAGCTGACGTCCTGCACTGCTGGCTTAGCCGTGAGGGCCGAAAGTGAGTGCCTGAGTGAGGTGAGCCACTCCCTGGCCATCTGCAAAAGCAATTAGCTTGCTGTTGCGGGTGTTTGGAGAGGGACTACCAATAATTTCTCCTTCAACAAATGTTTCTTCAGGTGTTCAAGAGTCAATGAGGGAAAATGTCAGAACTTGGCAGACATTCCCACATGCTTGCCATTCTCAACATTCACGCTTTCCCATTTAAGAGCAACCTCCAAAAGGGAACTAATCCTGGAATTCCTGTTTTTTCATGGCAAATAACTCCCTGATAAATTTCCTCTGGCTCTAAGCTTACTGCTACAACCTAGAGAAAGTATCATTCAGGACTTAACTTGATGAAAATTGACATGGATGGACTGGGGTTATTCTTTCATTTTGTGGGGAATTTCTTTCTACACCACTCTTCTGCTTGGATGTAGGCTGTTCCCCTCTCTCCACATATTTCCCACGCACAAGTTTCATGCTTTAATTGTCTTCTTCAGAGGGCAGACAATAAGAACTGGCATCTTCCAGATCAAAGGGGAAACAATATATTTCAAAGTGACAACTCTGTTATCCCGCAACCAGAATAATAAACTGATACAAATATAAGCTTCTAAATGATTCCATACTGAAATGCTAACAGAAAGCAAATTTCTTGCATAATTATGGCAGGGAAACTCTCCTTATACAGCACTCTAAAGAGCATGTCTTATTTTTGCACAATTCTCACGCCTGAGGCAGCCCACCTTAGGGAGGAGATTTCGTGTCCCTGCAGGTTGGGAACTGTGATTGCCCACTGGTGCTGTCTTCGAAGGAGGCTCTTAACAAAGGCTCTTCGCCAGGGGCAATGAGAAACTGGGATGCACTTCTGACTCAGGGAATGCATCTTCCTCGGATGACGTGCCCTTGGTCAGGGCCACTGTTGGGAAGGTGCACAGACCAACCCCAGGTGCTTCGCTCCATTTCTCTATTCTTCTTTCCAATTTTTCTGGCAGCTTTGCTTTTCCTGTCTACTTGTCTCACATCCTAATTTTGATCTGTCTCCCTATATATTTCTCCACCCTCCCTATAGCACACACACAAACATATGCACACACATGCTCATGCACACACACACACACGCACGCATTCGCACGCACACCATCTCACCCCCCCATCTCTTGGTGCTGGCCCTTTCATCTTCTCCCTCAGGGATTTGAGATGTCGCTGCAGGAAGTGCTTGTCCACAGAGGCAGCAGCAGCAGAGCCCTGTGGCTTTGACAAACCTCATTTAATTGGGAGGAAGCCAGGAGAATTTGAAAGAACTGAAACATACACGAAACTCCTTTTATCAGGCATAATTTAAACTCTGCATGGAAAAACCCCTATATGTATAAAGAAAAGTCAACTTCCCTCCTGCTGCGAGCACTCCTCATCTCCCCCCAGCACAGGCAGGTTCCTGCAAGATTCCATCTTTTCATTTTTCTAAAAGTGTCAAAGTAGATTTGGGCTCTGTGGCTGGGTGAACAGAGAAGGAATACAGATTATTCTGTCTCTGTCACTTGAGTTCACACAGACACACATACACACATACAGACACACATGAACACACACACACACACACACACACACACGCTCTAGACATGCATGCATGCACCAGAGCCCCTCTGGTGGTGGTTTTGCTTTGGATCATTCAGGAAGAATCAAAACCCAAGTTTCTAATAACACATCAGTTTGGACAGTGAGTGTTTCTTCCTAATTACCCTTCGAAAGGGAAAAGCTGGTGCCCAGAAAACTTTGAAGATCCTCAGCATTTCTTGGTGTGTAGATTAATAGACCCTGGAGGAGGGTTGATGAGGGAAGATATTTTAAGTAAAGAGAAAGGAATGAGTGTGTGAGTGTGTGTGTGTGTGTGTGTGCGTGTGTGCGTGTGCACCCAAGCATCTACAATGATGTGGTACAGTTAGAAATTCTAACTCCAAAAGAAGAAAGACAAGGAGGATCTCAGGGTTCAGATTGGAAAACAGGGGATCAGGGTGGGAGAGGAGGGGGTGGTACTGAAATGGGGGAGAGGTGCCAGGAAGGGAGAACAGGAGGTCTGCCTTCAAGGTCTGCCCTTCCACCCAGATGCCAAACTCTGTCCCTCCCTTCCTTCCAAATTCCACTTCAGATTCACCTTGAGTCTAATCCATATCACTTGAATTATTTTTGTTTCTCCAAAGAATTGCCTTTAGCACACGCAGTCTCTGAACATCTGCAGTTGATTATGCACAGATTTTTAGCTGTTTAGATATGATTTGTGCTAATATGTGTATGAGAATGCCTTGTTTCCTCTTCCTCACCCTCTTTTCCTCCCACTCTGTGAGATCCTTGAGGCCAAGGCCAAGTCTCTTGTTTCCCTCAACTTTTTATAGCACTTCATATGTTCTTGACACTTAATGGCAACTTAATAAATTCTAATGGCTGACTCTTCTTACAGGGTTAAGACGTTAACCTCAGTTGCATGATTATGGCTATTTCTGGACATCTTAAAGGGCTCACTTTAATAATAAAATTCCTCAACAAGTCTCAAACTAAGAGGTTTGGACTATTGTAGGGCATTGTCTTAGATATGGTGAAGCTGCATTTGTAAACACTGGGAATTGGGTCAGCCTTGGCCAGGCCTCTTGAACAGTAGACCCTCCCCGCTGCACCCTCCCCCCACTCAGCACACCCCATCCACACTCCCTCTTACTTCCATCCTAGTCCTCTCTTCCCAGTCTGAGCTTCTTCTGAACTCTCCTGCTGGCTTGCTTTTCTCTAATGTAGGATTCTGAAAACTATTTTCATTTGAATGGTGGATATTTTCAAAGAAATATTGACAGTCACCTCAAAACAGCTCAGGCCTGGACTGTGCTGGCCCCTCTCTGGAGAGTCCTTAGTGTCCACATTCTGAGAAACACAAGGAGAGCTCTGAGCACATGACGCCCAGTATATCTCAGATTTGGAGGGTGACTTCAGGCCCCAGGCAGCAAGACTGATTTCAGGGAAACTTGTGTTTCCAGCGGGCAGCCAGCCTCAGAGGGTCCTTCCTTCCCCCAGGACCCCACCTCGGCACTTCCTTCTGTAGCATCATATTACCAATCAAGAAGGCCCAGCTCTCCTCTCCGGCATATTCATGTCACCTATCATCTTACTCTTCATGGAAAGAGAGAAGGAGCTTGTTAGAAACTTTGGTTTTACTTCTGGCAGATTCTAGCAAAAGCAAACAAGTCAGAGGCAAATTTCATCTCATCCACTTCCTAAATGTATGTGTGTATGCATGAGATGCTGGATCCTAGCCACCTCTCTCCACCAGTGCTTTAGGGTTTTAGAGACTCTCATGCAAAAGTCAGGCAACATTGGGTCCCATCTTGCTTCTCAGAGACAAATTAATCTCTAACTTCACTTCTGGGTGCAATGTCTATGATTCTTCAGCATTGAGAGAAAACACTGAAGACACAGAGACTTAGCACATATGTACACATATGCACACAAGTTCACATGTGTGTACACACATACTCCCTCACTCACCATCAGGAAGCTGGAACAGCTGAGGTGGCAGGGCACTGAAATACTCATGGACAAGTGCTTCTTGGGCAGACACACGGGCTCGAGGAAAGCCTTTCAGCATCTGAGAGGCCAGGTCTTCTGCTTCAGGAACTTCACCCAGCCTGGAAAAGCAAGAGAGAAAAATAGAGTTTCTCCAAAGGCCTCTATTCTGAAAAATAAAGGCAGGAAAAGTAAAGATCAGAAAATGACTAGACTTAGAATGATGTTTCAAATAGAACTTTCCTGGGATTACAGAACTTGATGGCAAAATAAAATAATCCCCATACTGAAACTCTTACCTGTCCTGTTACTAAGATGAAGGAAAGTCTCAACACTGTATTATTTAGTTCCCCTTCCCTCCACCATGTCTCTGGGCCCATTGTGCATGTAAGAGACATGGAATTGTAACTAAAGAAACAAAAATATGTAACTAAGAATTCTTCATAGAGGGACACAGTAGCCACAACCAAGCAGAAAAGTCTGACTGACAATATGGTCCAGGCTCTGGACTCCAAATCAGCAGGTATGGAAGGCTGCAAGACAGAACAGAGGGAGAGAGGCAATTCTGGAGGGTGAAACTTTTCAGGGAATATTCTTATTTTTAGCATTTCTAAAGCTCAGCCCCAAGGTTAATAGTTAAGTGGCTCTCTTGGTTCTCCTTGGGATGGAACAGAGCAGAAGATATAATTAAGCACCCAAATTCCAGTAGAGATGAGAGTCCTCAAGTAGATCTTATGTTGAATTACACACTTGGAGATGAGCTAACCCATTTATTGAGAAACTGTTATGTGCTAGTTGATGGTTGGCTTTGGAAGGTGGTTGTCTTCTGGTAGCTTAGTCTAGTAAAGGAATCAAACATTTACCCAATTATACAAATGGATAGGTACAACTATAAAGACTTTGGTGTGGTCTGAATACTTATGTACTTCCAAAATTCATATGATATTAAAGGTGGGGCCTTTAGGAGCTGATTAGGTTGTAAGGGTGAAGCCTTCATGAATGAGCTTAGTGTCTCATAAAAGAGGCTGCCCCATCCACCCTGTGAAGGCACACCCAGAAGGTACCATCTAGGAGGCACAGAGCCCCCTCCAACATATCTGTTGGCACCTCCATGTTAGCCATGCTAGCCTACAGAACTGTGAGCAATAAACTTCTGTTGATTATAAATCATCCAGTCTAAGGTCTCTCTTTACAGCAGCCCAAACCAAGGAAACCCTCACATGTGACCTAGAATAGGAGGAGGTGGCCAGGGAAGATTTTTTTGCCAAAGTGCTGGCTGAGAGCTGAGAGCTAGGGAACTGGGAATAGGTGAGGGGCAGGTGTTGCCCGAAGATGTTTCTGGTGCTTCTGTTGAGCTCAAAGTGGAAGGAAGAAGAATGAGTTTAATGCAGGGAATTGAGGCTTATTGGTTGGCTTGGGACAAAGAGAGGGAGAGGCGCCTTATAAGAACCTGGAGAGATTGGTTGGTTCCAGGAGATTCTGCAGGACTTGAGGGTCTTCATGTTGTCTATTTACTTACAACGTTTGAAAGTCTTTGGTAATTTAATGCCAATCACTCATGTACATTCATCTGTACAACTCACAAATACCTTTACAAGTAGAAAGCCACAGAGGGAAAAATATGCAGATCTTGCAGGACAATTAACCACAAGACTGACATTCAGAAATTAAGTTGCATGGCCATGAATCAAAGGAACAATAGAGGGGTTTACTTAAAGTCCAATAAACATAACTACTTACAGCAAGAAAGCACAGCTACTTTTTCCTCTCTACATGCCAGGGAGGTGGGGTGGAGGTGGGGGTGGGGGTACAGGAACACTGCAGGTCAGGCCCAGTGTTGTAATCTGTCTAATTTTTGCATAAAATTTGCATAAGAAACTTCCCATATCTGATTCTGATGACATAAAATTGTTTCTTCAAACAGATTGCTTTTCTTCAAGCCAGGAGTAATTGTTTCACAGACAAAGAAGAAGAAATTTGGAAATCCCTAGGGCTTGCAAATTTTCAGGTCAGTTAGGACAGAGAGGAGCCTGGGGTGAATGAATGTCTGCTCCTACAGTGTTCTGAAGGAGGACTGCAGAGGGTGACTTGCCCAGGTTTGGGAATGCATAAAAAACTGTCTACAAGTGTATTAATTAACTCATGTAAAATCTGACTCTTCTCAGAGCAGTGAGACAGTAGTTTTAATTTCTTGGCCCAACCTGACTCTGAGTATAAAAATCTCTCACCCCTTCACAGCCACTGGCCTTCACAGCATAGGATGAGGCTGGTACTATGAGCCTTTCCCCTGGCATCCACAGAAAAGGGAAGGGGTTTAACACAGGTAAAGTATATGGCCACGGTGAGAAACATCCAGCAGTAGAAAGAAATGACATCAGAGGAGTTTTCCTGCAACTTGCCATTCAGCCTAAAAAGTGAGTGCCCTTACTAGACCCAGTTTAAGAGGTTACCATAGAACCCGAGCAAGGCCCTGGTCTGTGTACACAGGTGCATGCACAGTTTCACTGTACCTCTGAGCGAGTGGTGTGGAAAAGCTGGTGACACCTCAGCTGCTCTTGACTTACAAACTTGGAGCTGGATTCAACTGACAGGGCATAGACAGCTGTGTACCAGATGAATCCTGGCTCCACCAATTCCTCAGCTGGATGACTTTGGCCAGATTACTGAGCTTCTCTGAGCCTCAGTTTCTTCCTCTTTGACCCAGGAATGACATTTGTAAGGCTTGAAAGTAGTAATATATGCTGCACCTTTCTGGGCACATAATGCACACCCCACCTAACATTAGTCATCTTTGCAGAGCCCTCCACAGAACCAGGAATTTCCTTATGTGATGATCTAGGACAGCACTGTCTAACAGAACTCTTTGATGAAGGAAATATTCTATTTCTGCTCTGTCTGTTATCGTGGCTACAGCCTGTAAGTGGCTATGGAACCCCTGGAATTAGAATAATTTAAACTTAAGTAGCCTGTGTGTAACTGGTGGCTGCTGTGTTAGCACAGCTCCAAATGTCACTCCTTTCGTGGAGGGTCTGCACAGAGGGAAGTCCACGTCTGAGCAAAGGCATAAACAGATGTTTCCCAAGCTGCTAAGGGTTGTGTGGTCAGAAAAGCCTGAGTGATATGGAGAGGATTCAAGTCCTGCTCAGCCCTGGAAGGAAGGCCTTGTGGGGAGATAACAGGAGACTGGTGGCATTGTTATGAGAGTGGCAATAGCAAAAGCATGGAGTATTAGATACTTTGCAGAGTTGCTGTTTATTTCGGAAGCCAATTGTAAAATGAAAGAAAGCAACAGGACAGAGCGAAAATTCAAATATCTCTAATTAGGGGTTAGGGAGTCTGACGGTGCCGGCAGGAGAAAGTCTGCACATCTTGAGTAAAATGATGGCAGCAGTCTCCAGGATGATGGGGAGTTTTGGGTTATATAGTGCTTTTCAAAATAAAAGTGGACCGTGGGCATGCCCCGGAGAGCCCTGTCCCTCCAACGAAAGATCCCTTGTCAGTCTGCTGCTCTGTTTCCGACGTGTTTTACTCTACTTTGTAGCCTTTTAAAGCAACTGAATAGTATGCACGTAGAAGCCAAATGACATTTGTTTAGATTAAACTATTCCACATTTTCAGTTAGGATCTTGACTGGCGAGACTTCCTCTTCTCACCTGTGAGAGTATGTTTTTCTTTGACATCTGAGTTTGTTTCCCCTGTCTCTGATGTTTTCCTCACTGCCCTTTTTGCCTCCTCACTGAAGCAAAAAGAACAGAGCTTCAGCTAATTACTCTTAGATCAAATAATACTGGTTATTGTAATTGGTCATTGTCTGAAAACACTGGGTTCTTCTTAGCCCTGAGGTTGCCTGGCACAGCTTAGTTAGCTAACTATTCCTGGAATGTCTCTATTATCTGTTTTACTTTGCAAAAGAAACTAGGGATTTGTTGAAAGCTGGTAATAAAAGTCTGCCCTGGTCTGAGCCGAGGCTGCGTTGAGAGGGCCTGGGAAAGCATGACCTCCATGAATCAAGTTCCCCCTCCAATGGCCACTCAATGATGTTATTTGGTTTCCCTGTGTCAGAGAATAATAAGCCCACTACGTTTTCTTGCGGGCCAACACTCCTGCGTTCTCAGGGCCTGGGGCATGGCTCAGGGACACAAAGCAATTTTAATGGCCAAACTCACTGAAAGTAAAATGGCTCATAGAGAAAAACTAACACAGTCCCAGGGGGCTGGCTCTCCCAGAGGCAAGTTCCCGGGCTTGGGGCTCCCAGACCAGGGTTCTGGGGGCTGTTGTTTAGTGGAAGGAGGTCCATAGAAAGTCTCTTCTCCCTGCCTGAAGAGAGTTCCCAGTGTGGTGCTCACCTGTTCCATACGATCTGAAGTCTGTGAGGCTTAGGCATCAGGAACCATTCTGGAAAGGACACAGACAAACATTAAAAAAACAAAAGTAACTCTTCAATTGTGGCCAGAAATGTTATTAAAATTCTAAATGCTCGGTTTGACTTGGGATGAGAGGATTCAAGTATGGAGCTACCTAATGATTTTTAAGGCCCTTCCTCACTTGGAATTTTTATGATTCATTGGGAAGTCACTGTGATGTGCTGAATTGTGTGCCCCTCAAATTCTTATGTTGAAGTCCTAACTCCAAACACCTCAGAAGATAATGTTATATGGAAATAAAGCTGTGGCGGATATAATTAGTTAAGATGCAGTCCCCAGGGTCAGCCCAAATGCAATTTGACTGGCATCTATATAAAAAGGGAAAATTTGGATACAGAAGTAGACAGATATCTGAGAATATGACCCATGGAGATACAAGAAGACAGCCATCTATAAGCCATGAAGAGGGACCTGGAAGAGATGTCCCTGCAGACACCTCTGGTTCAGATTTCCCAACCTCGAACTGTGAGGTAAAAATTTTCTGCTGTTTAAACCACCGAGTTTGTAGTTCTTTGTTGAACTACAAAATGGCAGCTGTGGCCAATTAATATAGTCTAAATATCCACTCAAGTCAACAAACATTTATTTAACATGTAGCGTGTGCAGAGCATGTGCCAAATGCTGGGAGAAGACAAAGAAATCAAAAGAAACTCTTTGGTTCTTGAAGAGCTTACAATTCATTTGGGAGAACAAAGCATATGCACATGAAAAGTCATGTGACAAATGATGCAGCAAAGTCTCAAAGACTCAAAAGTGGTACAAAAGAAAGGGGTGAATTTTATATGCAGCTGGGTAAAAATGGAAGTGAATCCTGGCTTGAATAATCCAAAATGGGTGATAATAGAAATAATTTAATTTTGAACATTCTATAATATTTATATTTAGTTACGTGTATTTCTATTACTTTTGGTATTGATACTAACTCAATTAAAATCACAATGAAAGGTATAATTTTTCATTCCAGAAACAGTAAGTGAATATCTATTGTCTGTAAGGGCCACAAGAAGAACTGTGGAGGAAGCTAGCTGATGCTGCTTATCAAATTCCCACTTTATTTCTCATCCAAATTGAGAAAAGAGTACTTCAACTCTCATTTAAAATGATATATCTGCCTTATACTATTCTTAGGCCTGAAATGTAGTTGTTTGGGTTTTAAAAATCTCTTCTTCCAAGTCCTATATGAATGGAACAAACCAAGACTGTTTATTACAACTAAGAATTTAACCATACTTTGGCAAAAAATCATTTTGATGATATTAACATATTCATGCTGGCATGTGGATAGAAAGACCTAGAAGATTAATCATGAGATAATGATCATGGTTAGAAGGTCTTACCCTTTATGCTTCTATGTCTATTTTTTCAAAGAAACTTTAATGAAAAGCATATACAGTTGGCTTTCTGTATCTGCAGGTTCTTTATTCACTGGTTCCCAATCCAGGGATTTGACTAACCATGACTAGAAAATAGGTTTTTTTTTTTTGGTACCGGGGACCGAACTCGGGTCCTTGAGCTTGCACAGTAGGTGGCAAAACCACTGAGCTAAATCCCGGGCCCGGAAAATAAGTTTTTAAAAAACTCCCTAGGGCAATTATACTGAATATGTACAGACCTTTTCCTCTTGTTATTGTTTAAACAATACAGTATAACAACTATACACATAGCATTTACATTGTAGTAGGTATTACAAATATCTTGAAGTGATTAAAAGGACTGCATATGGAAGGCTGTGCAGAGGTTACATGCAAATACTACCCCACTTTATAGAAGGGACTTGAAGATCTGCAGGTTTTGGTATATGAGGGGATCCTGAAGCTAATTCCTGTGGGTATGGAGTGGTGACACTATTATTCTGTAATTTCAAAAGTAAATTCCATTGAAAGCTGATTTTATAGTACCAAGAGCTGTAGAGTGAAAGGAGTAATCAAAGAAAGTAGTCTAAACTGAGTTTCCAAGGTCAGTTACAATTAAGTGTGAGCCACTTTGCTGGTGGTTTATAGTCCCAGGTGGGGACCAAGGAGGCTCTTGTGTAGGTTATTTACTTTCTGCTCAGTGTGATTGCACCTAATTTCAGAGTAACCTGTAAAGATAAGAATATCTGGCATTTGTTAATATGTTTATTTTCAAACTACTTTCTGCAGCCTATTTACAGTTCTTCCCTGGCCAAACAAAATTAAAATATTTTCTCGTTTAGTCATAGCCCAATTTCCAATCAACATAATGAAATCCATTTCAATCCTCTCCTATTTTCTGTTTTTCTCTTCTTAGAGCTCTATGAGCTGTGTTTTTGGGGCCATAATATTTTCATACTGTTTCCAAGTTAAGTGTTGTTCCTAGGAGTTGGGCGTTAGCTGAGTTAGTCTGAGTACTGACTGCTGCTTCAGTTTTGCTGAGATTGTAAGCAAAACTCTACCACTGTGGTCCTTTGGCTTCCTTACCTCAAGCTTCAGGTCCTATTTACCTTACTGGGGTGCTGAAGTAATTCAATGAAGCAATGGCTGGAAAGCGCCTGTTTTGGAGCATTAAGCAAAATAAATCCTGTTTGTTTTTCCTTCCTCCTTCTCCACTGAAAGTGATGGGGAGCACAGTGTATGGTGAGGCCTTTGGACTCAGCCGTGAGACTCCAAGATGTTGCTTAACCTCTCTGGACCTCAGTTTTCCCATATGCAGAGGGGATAATTATAGTTCCCACTGCACAGGGTTGTGAGTAGCCATCAGTAAGTCTTGCTTCTCTCAAGTATTTCTGCTTTGTTATGCTCTTTATTTTGTTTTGTTGAGACAGGGTCTCACTATGTAGTTGAGGCTGGCCTTGAACTCAGGGATCTTCCTGCCTCAGCCTTCTGAGTGTTGGGATTACAGGCACGTGTCATCACACTCAGCTTGTTGTGCTCTTTGGAAACCTTCTGTTAACTCTTTCCTTCTGCTGAAATTCTAACTTGCTCCAAGCTCATATTCTGATGACCCTCCTTGATTTCTTTTGGGTCCTTAGTGTGAGCCAGAGGTGTGTTTCTTAGGTGTGTGGTGTAGTAACATGAACATGAACCCAGGCTGAAATCACCTTTCTGTAGCTTAGGATCTTTGGGACAATGAGGGGAAATTGCTTAACCTCTCTCCTTAAGTAACTGAGAAAATTTCCAAATCTATGAAATGGGCATTCTTTCCAACTGCTGAAAGGAATAGGCAAGATCAAGTAATTGGTAGGTAGTAGGAGGTCAAAACCTGTGAGGTTAGTCTCAGTTCCGTTTTTCCTCTTATTCCCAGCCCTGGTCTTGTAGCATGGTCTGACACAGTGGCACTTAAGCAGGGAGCACCTTAGCCTCACCTGTGGAGCTTTAAAAAGCAAGGCAGCCCTGGCTGGCTCTACCCCCTAGAGAGTCTGATTTAACTAGTCTGGGAGGGTTCAGGCGCTGGTTAGTTGTTGTGTTATTATGTTTTTAATGGTCTCCAGATGTTTCTAGTGAGGGCAGGGTCTAGCACTCACCAGCAAATCGACATGCTTCCTTGAACCTCATTTCCTCCTCTGTGACAAGTGAAGTTGTGAGAATTCCATTAATCAGTGTATATAAAAATTGCAGAACCCAGTGTCTGACTAATACTTAATAGGTTATTCCAGGATGTGAAAGAGGAAATGTGACAAGAGAGAAATCAGCTCTCATAAATTCTACCAGAAAAGGATGAACTATAAGAGTTGCCCCAGGACCTGGCAGTGACAGGATTTTGAACTTCAGGCTGTGTAGACTGATAGTGCTGGCTCTTCCCACATCCATTTTGTAGCTACATTAGCTGAGATGGAGCAATTTATGTGGCCAGGTCAGTCTGGAGCTGCTAGGAAGCCAGCTAAAGCCCAACACCTATTTATGGCCTCTCCGTTCACTCTTATGCAGATAACTTGATTCTCAATGACCTTGCCTCTCCCCCATTGATTTTTCCCAGTAGTTAAGCTACAAATGATCAATGAGAGAATAATCCCCAAGCAGATAGGCATTTTACATAGCACTATTTCAAGACCAGTCTGTTTCTCTGGCTTCAATAGCCTCTAAAAATAATAGGTCTGGCATGTTTCCCTTCTCCTTCCAAAGATGTTAGTAAATCATTAGACCAGATTTTCCTCCATCTCCTCCTCCCTCTGCAGTTCTCTTTAAAAGAGTTCTCATTTGAGTTCAATTGGAATTCGAGGCAGGAAAAGCAAAGTAAGTCACAAAAAGAAACTAAAAAAACCAGACTATTCAAATTTCAAACCAAATAGAGGAAAATTAAAATGAGTGCAGAGCTACTGCTTCCGAAGTAAAAATAGTCCATTTTTCTTAAATGCTTAATGGTGTTCATTTCACGACTGACTCAAGTATGGGAACTTTAGTCAGTGGAGATACGTTGATTGATTGATAGCACATCAGCTGGACATTTTGAGTTTCAGCTCAAGGTAAAACCTTTTCTAGTTACTATAGCCCAGCCACAATCACCCTAAGGTTATCTTATAGTTTGGTCTACGGAACTACACCTTTGGAATTTCCTGAATACAATGCATTCTTCAGATACTACATATTTAAATAGTTGATACTGCTGTCAGCCTTATTTTGTTATCTCAAGCAGTAACTTTAAAAGTGCACTGCAAAACTCTGTAGCTCTTTTCCTCCTACCTGTGTTCATCCCTCCCCCACCCCAAACACTGCACCCTCCTCTCAGTGGCTACCTTCCTTACGGAGCTGGCTTGGAAGCTTCCTTACTCTTTGGCTCCAGGAGTTTTTACTGGCTTTGCTATCCTCCTTGAGCAACTTCAGGGCCCTAGAAATCAGTGTTCTCACAGACAGTCACCTTACCATTGAGGCTGGCCTGCCAATGCACATGTGTGTAGCTTGTCACTTTTCTAATCCTGCATCAAAACTTTCTGCAATTTTGAGATCACCACACCCCATCCTTTGAAGCCCATTCCTAAAGTCTCTGCAGAGGAAAAAGAGGCCAGTACCTGCTTCT